ATTCAGAGCCTCTACTGACGACATGAGCAAATCGTTAGATATAGCCCACAAATGTGCATTCTTTTGGTACTTTAGCAAGAGACCAAAATAATCCTGGTGCCAGAGTATATAAACTTTTCAACGCACAACCTTTGACTTTACTTCACTTTACTGCGGCTGTCTTCTTGGAAAGATAAATTCGGCTCCAGACAAGATCATGACCATGAGCAGGAAGTTGCTTAGGAGTTTTTTACGAAAGACGTCTCCAGCATCACTCGGCCTCTTTATTTTGAGGGTGCCTTTGCACAAACAAGTGCGAACTAGAAGGCAGCATGAAGTAATCCCTCGCCTCGGAAGTGAGGGGGTCAGTGACTTTAGTTTTTAAAGGCCAGGCACATTGACCTTTGTCAAGACACCGTCATTGGGCTTATGCGGCTTTTAAACAGCCTGAAACACACCACACCCTGGTAGTACCGCCAATATTCACGACTACTTGTTTGTTGCGATGTGCCACAACTTATTCTTTGAATGTATCCCCCCCCCCCTACCCCCAACCCAGGGACGCGTCTGCCAGCATTTAGCTCTGCTTTACCCGGGTCCATCCAGGTACAATCCGTATTCAACAGACTACTTCTTAACTTCCCGCTCGCCCTCCGTCTAGTTGATGTAAGACCTAAAAGCTTCACAGTCTTCGTTCCTTGACAAGTGTTTGTACTTTTGCCCCGGGCTCTTACAGGGCAGTTAAAAACCAACACACCTGTCTAGTACATGCATATCGAGTGCCACACTGACTAATCTCATCAAAAGATTGATTGATTGATTTGAACTCACTATCCTTCGAACTTAAACCTTCACTCACATTCCGCAGTCCTTCCAGTCCACCACACACTTTGAAGCACTAGGCTCGAGTATCGCTCTTATTAGAGCTCATCAGTAGTGTATACCCACCGTTCTGTCCGGGGTTTGAACTCCGGACCCATCGGGTATGGAAGACGTGTGCGTTACCACTGTGTCAACCAGCTCATACCATGGCTGAACCGAATTACCAATTCATGTTCATTCAGATTTCGTATTCAGTGATAGTCAGTCAGTTCATTTGGCTCGATAGCAACGAAGGGAGACACATATGACAATGTGTAAGCTCCAATCGAAAGCCTCCCACCAGGATAATCAGTTCAAATCAATCAATACCAATTATCCCACACAACTACTCACAAGTAAATGTGAGTTAGATGCGAATACTCATTAAAATAGTTTTATAAGGTCAATTTCGTCATGTGAAGTGTTTCATTTGCTCTCTGCGCGAGGAAATTCACCAATGCAAACAAACCAAATCCTCTATTTCTCTCTCAGATAAATACGTTATCGGATTCGATCGTTTCCAACCGAGTCCAAACTCCGGGAGGCTAGTATTGAGATTGCGGGAGATACAACGTCTGCATTAAACTCACGAAGATCGGCTGTGATATATCGTGCATCATGAAAATGAACCAGGTGGACTGATCAGCTGACCACTGAGGGTCGAGTATCTAATATGATTGAGTTCTACCTGAGCTGTCCCGGGTTCGATCCCCATAGATGAGACTCAACCAAGTCGAAACAGCTGTTCAGTAATGCTTTCTATCTTTTGCAGTTCACAACACGCTCGATTCCTAACTTCTCAGTTCACGTTTCAAGTGCTGTTTACACGACGATGTTCATCACTGCAACTAAACCAAATCTTCCATTTCTCTCATGTGAAATAATTTTAGATCGACATTGATCCATGGATTGGATATTTAAATTTGCCTCACAATTATTTTTGGATAATTATATGATACCGATTTTAATCAACCAGCCTTGAAACGTCATCTTCACGCCCAGACAGTCCTGCGTGATAAAGAGAACAAAACTTCATTTCTTAGTTGGACTTAAACCAGGCACTCAGGGTGTATTCAGTCAAAATCGACTCGAATATTCTCACCGATCGGTTGAAAAATTGTGAACTCAGTTCTGATTGTTTTTTCCATTTGTCTCGTGTGTTCTGATTGATTATAGTTTAGTTTGCGGTCCGAAATTAAAACATTCTAAACAAGGGTTGCGGAGACCGATGGGTTTTGTCATCTGGAAAGTTGAATTTCTCTCGTGGTCGAAGGGGTCGGAAATCCCGATGATATGAGTTGACCGAAAATTTGAAGACCTTAAAGCTGATGGGTTAGGCAACAATATCTCCCAATTATCGACATCCTAAAGCGTCGTAGACTGAGCGCCGGAAATCTGATTCACCAAAGTCACCAGTAGGTTAGAAATTATCTCTTCTGTAATTGGAAGACATGACGATTTCAAAAACTCGGTTGGAAACTAAAAGCTTTGAAAACAATTCTTGTGATTGAATGAACGAAAGTTGACTTTAGTGACCAAAAAATAAGTTTTAAAATTCTGCGAAAGGAAGCCAGTGTAATGTATTCATATGCCATCACGAATGAAAAACTGGACAGATGAAAAAGAGGGTTTTCCAAATGGGAACTTAGGACTTTGGGGCACGACATACTTCGCGGTAGCCTACACCGACGAAGGGGTTCTGCTTTGGGAACCCTGACTGGTGCCTCTAACTCAAAATCCTAACCCACAATGCAGTGGGGCGTAGATCAAACGCTGGAGCGTGACCGAAGCTCCCATGTGGGAACTTATAGAAACCTGTCACTCAAAGTCTTTGGGTTACGGTTCGGTGTATTGTTCACTGATACGTTGATTATCGGCCCGCTATTCGCGATTGGACCTTTGTCTCATGCACCCAATGAGACAAGCAGAATATGGACGGGACGG